GAACAGCCAGTGATATCTACTTGTGTATTAGTAGCAATAATCCGTCTACTATGTCGCTGGGAAACAAGTTTTCTTTTGTGCGCGTTATATATATTTCCTATAATTAGTAATAACTACATAAATAAGGCTTTACAAACAAATATAACCTAAATGTATACAATAAAATTATTTAGTAAATAATAAAAAATATCTCAGACACGTCTCTACATTAAGAAACATAGTGGAATCGTAACTTTTATCAAAATTTGACGAATGCGACACATTGCACAACACTAAATTCTCGGTATTTCGAAGCCACGATGAGATATGTTAGGTTACATCATGGACCGAACGTAGACAAGAAAAGCCTGTCCGTAACAGAATGTGTGAGATTGACAATAGTGTACCACTTTCCCCTCCGTACATGCGTACAACGTGTGCGCTGTAACAAACGCTATTACATATATATATATATATTTTTATTTATTTATTTATTTATATAATAGCATTTTTGACTGAAGAGTGGACCAACCGATCTGAGAGCGATTAATGATATTCGACCCATACAAAGAGCAATAGGATTGGTTTTTGTCGAAGAGACGTCATTAAAGGCCTTCACACACACTTTCCGTAACAGTAACCGTAAGACGTAACGTAAGAATTGACCAATCACGTTGAGAATCGTCGAAACATAAGGTCGCCATTTTTGTGAATACTCTATCGTAATTGGTCAATTCTTATGTTACGTCTTACGGTTACTGTTACGGAAAGTGTGTGTGAAGGCCTTAATAGATATCGTGTCGATTGACCCTCTCTTTAATCGAAAACGCTATTAATGACGGTGTCTGCACTGCACAAGAAAAGCGTGCAAGCGCGATAAGACATGACGCGGCAGCCAATCAATGGCCAATAAATGGTTTATAATTAGGTCATAAATGTAAATAACGTAAATTATAACTTTCCAGGACTTATAAATAAATAAATAAATAAATAAATAAATGAGAACAGCTAATATTACGTTACTTCGTATTACACACGCCGATCATATTACGCCATTTTCATATTGTATTGAAATGTTGTTGCAACGCTGCATATGCAATATTGCAAACACAATGCCATTGCAATGTCTCTGCAACATTACACTGCAATATGCAATGTTGCAACGTTGTAGCAATATTGCTGCAAGCCTCTGTGCTGTATGGACAGCAATGGTAAGCAAATTTTCAAAGTACAATTTAAATTCAATTAAGTAGCGTGTGAAACAATAAAATGGAAATTTTAAGAAAAATTCAGGAAAAAAGAAAAATGTATATATTTTAATAAATATTTTTATAATATTTATTAAAAATATAAATATTTTAAATAAATATAATTTTAAATATAAATATTTTTCATCTATTGAATCTAAGGTCACAAAAATATTTTGTAAATATATTTGTAGATATATTTATGAAATATTTTGGTAAATATTCATAAAATATTCAAATAAATCTTATAAATATTTTGTAAATAATTTATAAATATTTTGTGCTGTCTGGGTTAATGGATGAAAAGGATAGAGAATAGTAGTAATTTATGTAATATGTTCAATAAATATACAAAAATGTGTATTAAATATAGTCGAAATATTACAATCTTAACAAAGAAAGACATAACTGCTATATAACATAACAAGTAACAAGTAACAAGAGGTAACAAGAAGTAACAAGAGTACGTGTTACGTCTATGTTATACAGGGTGCGGCGCCAAAATCCGGACAAATTATACATTTTTCCAAACATATTTTTTATTGCAAAAACGAAAAGGTTTACAAAATTTTTTTAACCAAATTGTTTGTAAGGCCATAAAGAACACATTTACTCAATATATCCCCCGCTTGCTTGAATGACCGCCTCCATTCTCGGTCTGAAGCGTGCGCAGGCGCGCTTTAATGTGTCACGGTCCATATCGGTGAATGCCTCTTCAATAGCGGCTCTCAATGATGCGACGTTTGGATGTCTGGACTTGTTCGTGACCCTTTCAACTACTCTCCATACATAGAAGTCCAAAGAATTCAAATCTGGGCTGTTGGAAGGCCAGAATTCTTTTGACCAAAACATGTCGACGTTGTCCGACAACTAATTTTGCACCAAATGACTCACTTTAATTGTGTAAGACTTGTAGCGGAGGTCCTCCTCGATGATTCGACGCATAGTTTTCTCGCTCACACCAACAACCGACGCCCTGGATCCTCAAAAATTAGCTTTTGAGCCCGTTGAATGATGTCGGGCGTCCTGACAACGCGCTCCTTCGAGTGGGTTTTACTCGCCGGTGTTGCAAAACCTTCGTTAGACTTCTCCGACTCATTGTACTTTGCGATGACATCATACAAGTCGATCTCGGGTACCCGAAGAACCGAATGATTTCTGTCGCCGAGCGCCCAGCTCACTTTCGATAATCGCGGCTCTTCGGTTATACTCCGCACTTGGTTTCAACATTGCGACTGTTTCGAGGTTATGATGGTTTAATACATGCGTCAAGTTATTTGAACGCTAATCGTAATCGCTAATCTACCAGTAGTATTAAACGGTGAGAATTTCAAATTGAATTTTGTCCGGATTTTGGCGCCGCACCCTGTATAACAGTTATATTTTGTATTTGCTGGGATAATTGTAGTAATATTGAAAACTTAATTTATTAATGAGTTGTAGATGGATACTGCAAATGTGGGAGCTATTGGAGGTTTGTTTGTAATAACAGTATCTGAAATTAACTCTGAGGACTCTATCTTCTAATAACTGGCCATGTTCCATGTACTAAATCGATTTCAATTAATGACATTTTTTATATTATTTGATATTATTATTAGATTGCCTCTCTCTTTCTTTCTCTCTTTCATTTTTATAAAAGCAATACTGATACATTACTGATTGGGATCCGACGACAGACATACGACGATCCAATAGCCAAAAGGAAAATTTATTTTCTAGGGACAGTACATCACTAGCTAGTAACCTTAGAAAGTGCAATCTTGATGCATGCACGAGATGCATTCAGCTACATCTGTTGTAAATAATGGCTCCTGCATACAGGACGCAGTAATGCTTGCCACGCGGCGGAAGTTAGCGTAACAGCCAATCAATATGGTGCTTTCCGTAATAACCTTCTAGCTCTTACGGAAAAACAACATATTGATTGGCTGTCGCGCGGACTTCCGTTGCGCGGCAAGCATTACCGCGTCCTGTGTGCAGGAGCCATAAGGATGCCATTACATGAAGCGCGGAAACGCGGAAGACAAAATCTTACTAGATCCACTATGCGTTCCGCGTCTGTTTTGATTGCCTTATATTACATGAGGCATATTTTGCGCAAAAAGCGGTATGGGAAATTATAAAATATTAATTTTTAACGGTATTTATTAATTAAAATGCTTGTATTCAACAGATAAGCTGAAAAAATAAACATATTAGTAAAAATTGCAGTAAATTAAGTTAATACAATTTTAAAAAATGAATACAGATGTTTATTTGTCACCAAATCGTTCCGCTTTTCCGCGCAAATTGTGCTCCATATAATATAAGGAGAAATAAAGTCGCGGAACAAGCGTGGAAAAATTCATTGTCACAAGTTGTTACAAGTTATCACAAGTTGTTCAACCTAACCGCCGTTACATTAAGACGTGTTCAAACACATTCGGACCTGATATTTTTCTGGAATTCATACCTTGGTACTTTAGATGAAAAGACAATAGAGAAAAATTTTGGGTCTTCCGCTTTGCCGCTTTTTCAACGTACGGGAAGAAATTATTCAATTCGCGGAACGCGGAAATTTAGTAAGATTTTGTCCCGCGTTTCCGCGTTTCCACGCTTCATGTAATGGCACCCTAAAAGAACGCAACCATAGAGTTATGATTCCTGCACACATGACACGGTAATGTTTGCCGCGCGGCGGAGTCCGCGCGACAGTCAATCAATATATTGTTTTTCCGTAAGAGCTAGAAGGTTATTACGAAAAGCAGCATATTGATTGGCTGTCGCGCGAACTTCCGCCGCGCGGCAAGCATTATCGCGTCCTGTGTGCAGGAGCATTAGAAATTGTCATAAACTATAAAAGTACTTGATGGTCGTGCCTATCATAATTCCGGCCCTAGTGGACTAACTCTAACTCTAGGATGCGTTCAGATTCTTCATCCGGGTGCACTCTATTACTAGAAACACTATAGTATACGTTACATATACTATAGCATTTCTAGTAATAGAATACACCCGGGTGTGGAATCTGAACGCAGCCCTAATTGTCGTAAACACCCAATATGTAATCGAAATACTGGGATTCGCCAGTTAGTTCTTGGAGGTGCTCTTCATGTCGATTACAGCGTAAGGCTGATATTTCACGTGTCGTACGACAAGCTTTTTGGATACGTTCATTGGTTGACGAATAGAGAATCTAGAAATACTCTATTCGCCAACCAATAAACGTATCCGAAAAGCTTGTCGTACGACACGTGAAATAGCACCCTAAGAATGCCAACTGGCAGTCCATACTTATATAGGCTGCGTTCCGAAATTCACTGTCAGTACTGAAAATCTATAGTTCATGTCACATATACTATAGAATTTCAGTACTGACAGTGAATTTCGGAACGCAGCCATAGACAAAGATGCCAGCCAATTAGCTGGTTACGTGATCAAGTTGGCGATTCTCTATACTAGAGGTTCTCTAGTCTTAAGATGTCATGAACCAATCACAGAGCCGTATTCACGTCTTAAGACATTATTTAAGACATTTTTGAAATAAGATTTGACTACGAATACCGGTCATAGATCTGTTCTTTGTAGTTGCACTGCTGAACTGTTGCAATATATTGAAGTGAGACAAATATACGTTTTCTCACTCTAATTTATTACACTAGTTTAGCAGTGCAGCTACAAAGAACAGGCCTTATGCCGCGCCCTGGGATACGTTCGAAAACATCATCCGATTGCATCTCTTATGTTGAGAGAGATACGAGAGTAAAATAAAGAGAGAGGGAGAGCATGACAGATGACATTTTCGAACGTACCTCTATGTGTAGGAGTTATATGATACTTCGATACAAACTTAAAAGCGTGAGATATAGCGGCAAACACCTTCTCAACAACACATGGGAACATCAAGCTTTTGTTTACGACTGATAATTTGACAGTTGTGAAATTCATCGAAATTTTGTAAAATATGGAAGACAAGTCGCAAAAGGAACAATCCATAGAAAACCCAGGTTTTTTTTACTGTAATTCATTAGTGAGAAGTTAAATTGAGTGACTTATCTCCTGGTTTTTGTTACAGATATCAATCAAGATGAGTTGATACTTCAACAACAAAGACGAATCGAGAAGGAGGTTAATATGCTATACGTATCACATTCGAAGTGTATTTTTAAAAGATAAATTAGAATACACTTATTCATCTTTATTAATTTATCAGATTAAAAGTATAATTCACGTAGCCACTGTTAGTCTATATAATTAAAATACACACTTTCACTTTTATTTCTAAATTTTAATGAATAAGGAGAAAAGTTTTTATTAAAGTTTGTAATTATTAGATAATTTTTATGTATATTTCAGATCTCAGAATCCATAGCTTTAGTTGGCGAAAAGGAGCCATTAAAAAGCTTAGAACAAGAATATAAAGAAGACGAAGTGTATCTTTCAAAGGCAAAAGCCTTGGCTAAAAAATATTCCTACATTAGGAGAACAAGACCTGACGGCAACTGTTTTTTTAGAGCATTTAGTTATGCTTATTTGGAGAAATTAATTGGAAATAAGGAAGAATATGATAAGTTTCGTGATTTAGCTTTAAAAAGCAAGGATAGCCTTGTAGCTCTAGGTTTTCCTCATTTTACAGTTGAAGATTTTCATGACACAGTGAGTTGGACATTTTGTTTTAAGATAACATGTTGATATAACATTCTAATTCGGAATTCTAATTCAGAATTCTAATTCAGAAAATTTATTATTTAGGAAATTTATTGTAAAGAAAATATATATTTTTATTGCAGTTTATGGAAGTAATTGACAAAGTAGGGAGTAGTGATACAGAATCCAGTCATATGGAGTTACACAAATTATTCAATGAGCAAGGTTATTCAGATTATGTTGTTGTATATCTTAGATTAATTACATCTGGTCAGTTACAACGAGATGCAGACTTCTATCAACATTTTATTGAAGGGGAACGCACTATTACTGAATTCTGCCATCAGGTTTGTATCTATTGATATTGATGTTTATATCTATCAATTTTTTTTACAAAACTATAATTTATTACAATGATATTCTTCTTTCTTTATAGGAAGTCGAACCAATGTATAAAGAATCTGACCATATTCATATTATAGCAATGAGCAGTGCATTAGGAACTGGTGTTAGAGTTCGATACATGGATAGAGGTGCAGGAACTGAAGTAACAGCTCATGACTTTCCTGAAGGTGCCATACCAGCTGTGCACTTATTATATCGTCCTGGTCATTATGATATTCTTTATCCTTGATAAATTCAACATTACACAACTTTTTCTCATATTATTTTCTACAAAATAAACTTCTTACTAGACTACTCTGATCTAATATAAAAACAGTTTGTAGTAACTAAAATTAGTTTTATTTTATTCTCAGGAATATTTGCATTTGTTACATGTAATGAAAGATAATGTCACTTTTAAATTAATTTTGTTTTGATCAGTTTATGTATTGTAACATAAACTCTTTAAACTTTACATATATTTCCAAACATGCATTGGTAATGTTTACAAGTCTTATAAAATATTTTTAACTTTGAAACTAATCTGGAATAAATGATACAGATGCAAACATTGTATTGTTTAATTCTTTATATTTTGTCCATTTCCTTTTTATGATCTCTATATAGATGACATGAAAAGAAAACAGAGAGAGGATATAATTATATATTTTCAAACAATATATTTAAAATTTTTTAAAATATGTTCGTAAATTTTAAACTAGTAATTAACAAATCTTAAAATATTAATATTCACAAATAGCTTTCTGCATGTTGACTACATAGAACTTATATATACAACAATAAATAAACCAACTATATATTAATTGTATAAAATTTACATATACAATAACAAATATGCATCACATTTATAGTATCTTATCGCTGCATAGATCGTACTTGTTCTGTAACTTCATCCAATATTGCAGAACTTTTGTCAATTAAATCTATTTGGTATTCTAAATGTGTAGCTATAAGAACAAGTTTCTTCAGATTAGATTCTACCATTTCTAATCCATGTTCCTGCTGTGCAAAGTTTCTTGCTGCATGCATTAAAATCTGCAAAAATATGTATGGAATGTATATAAAATAATAAAATAAAATAACATTATAATTTATAATAATGTAGCATTCAAAAAATTTCAAATAAAGTGGAAAAGTAAAATATTACTTCGCTGCTTTTTGAGCCCCTCTGTATTTGTCTCGCAAGGGAGGCAATATTATTGACATTAACTTGCACTCTATCTGCTAATCGCATTTTTGATTCAATAAATAGGCTACGTGCACTTGTACTTGATGCTGAAGCCATACTGGATTGTCTTTCATTAATAGAAGGATAAATTCTGTTTCTAATGTTATCCAAGCCTATAGATGAATCGTAAGTTGTATTATAGTAGAAGTTATTTCATCTGAAAATATACAAAGTTATATACGACTTTAGATTTATTTACGAATGAACACTGAAGCAATTGAATATTACTTTAGGGCTATCCACTGTAAGTGTACGTTTAAAAGTGAAAAGAATTTTTTAACACTTTTCCCAATAAAGTTGCAACGTCACGAGTTGTCAGGATTGCAAGCAATTCCTGACGGATTTGCGCAGCAAATGGTTGTCTTGTTGACTGACTAATTACTGCGCTAATTCGTCAGCAATTGCTCGTGATTATGACAATTCGAATGCTTTATTTGAAAAAAAAGTATACAAACAGTTTCGCTCTCGAGTATACACAATAGTTTCGTTATACAACAATACTAACACTTTTTCTTGAGTAAATGTGCGAAACACGATCGCAATTAAGTTCCAAATTCATAAAAATAAATATTTCAGATTATCTGAATTATATAATTCACTTTAAGTATTCACTTTAACAGAGTTTTTAACGAAAAAATTAATGTAACACTGGTATACACCGAGTGCAATTTTTATTCTACCAGGGCTGTGTTCCAAAATTCTTGATGGGTAGAGTTAAGACCCATCTACAATGGCTGTAAGAGTATAGCTGTAAAGACTCATCTACAATAGCTGTAAGAATAAGTCTGTAAGGCTGTAATTCGTATGTACTTGACCGGAAAAAAACTCCGGTTGGAAAACTATTCTTTTAAATTGTTTGTATTTCGTATGAAGAGTTTTGAAGTGCAATTGAAAAGATTTGTGAGTCATTCTATTACTTGTAATTAATTGTTCTTTTTTGGACCATGTATTTAGCCGGAAATAATGATCGGAGGTAAATTAAACAAAGGTTCGGTATGGTATCGTTTGTATTTCGTATGAAGAGTTATGAAGTATCATTAAAAAGGCTTGTGCGTCATCCAGATAATTTGAATTAAATATTAAAAAATTATATATTTGGCCGAAATAGCGATCTCAAGCGCTGCTGTGGAAGTACCGTCAGGCACAATCGGTGTACTATCTAGTATTTCAATATTCCTGGTTATTTTTCGGGTAATTATGTACAATAAGGCCTTTTTCGAATTTTGATATCTTTTTGCAGTTCTTTTGGTAAAAATATTTATTTTGACTTCAATATTGATAATTAATCGGGGGAGTCCGAAAAATATACAAGTTATATATTGTTTTAACTTTTTTTTATTTTTTTTCACTTGTCGAACGTTGCTGCTTTCCCACAATTTAAACAAGTACTGATCTTTTATCACATGAATTACATTATGTAACTGCAATATCGAACGACTAGCGGGGGGGAGCGGTGCACTTGGACACGGTGCATTTGGACACAGCCAATCACAGCACCGTGTGATTAGAGACATTTGTAGGGTCCCTTGGAACAGCGACTTGTGATTGGACTGTGTCCAATTGCCCCGTGTCCAATTGATATACACCCCTAGCGGGGGGCT